GGGAAGTCACTTGATGAGGACTGTAGACATACAGGGGCAATCCCAAGGGATTTCTTTACCAAAAGAACAGAAACAGATATTACTCTGATATATCTTGGCAACCCCTGGGCTACTGTATCAAACTGCTTTGAAAAATATTCTGCCAGGATTTGAATAGGTCCTAAGGATTCAGCCCTGGGTAAGGATCCCTAAAAGCACACTCTACTTCTCAGTTACATACAACCTGAAAAGTCTGTTAGGCTGTAGCAGTACCAAAACATGAGTTTTAAGGAGCAAGGGTTTTAGTTTATCATAAATGTGTTGTTATTCTTATTCCCAGGACAGTACGGTCATTATTTCCTTCTAGAAACTCATACAAGGGTTTAGTCAATTGGCTATATTCAGGAATCCCACAGTCAAACCTAGGAAAGTACAAAGTTGGAAGGCTTTGATGGCCTGCATATACTCTGCTGAAATAACTTTATTTATTTATTTGATGGTACCAGGGATCAAATTCATGACCTTGTATTTGCCAAGCAGGCACTTACACCACTGAGCTAAAACCCCGGCCCAAAAGAACTTTGTACATTGAGGTCAAAACAAATCGTAGGTAGTGGACCTTTTGGACCAGAAATTGAGCCTTAGACCTTGAGACTTTAGATTTTGATATCCTCTATCAAGCAGGAAATTTTAAGTGTGAACCAAGCAATCTTGAGCCTCTGTTAGAGAAGATAAAATCATCCACATATTGTAAATAGTCCCATTTGTTAAGATTAAATCATCTAAATCTCTAGTCAAAGCTTGTTCAAAAATATGGAGACTGTCCCTGAATTCTTGGGCAAGGGCAGTCCAGGTAAACTGTTTGTTCTAACCCAGACCATCAATCTACTCAAGGCAACAAGGAATTGCGACTCAGGGGTCACAAGGATGCAAAACAAAGCATCTTTAAGAAAGAAAGAAGACTGAAAATCACTGGTATTTGAAGGAATTTGACCTTGTTCCTTAAAATACATGCTTTTGGACTGCCACAATCTAACAGACTTTTCAGGTTATATGTGAGAAGCAGGGTGTGGTTTTAGGGATCCTTACTTAAGGACATTAGGGTCCTTTCAAATTCTGGCAGAATGCTTCTCAAAGCAGTTAGATAATGTAGCCCAGGGATTGCCAAGACACATCAGGGTAATAACTGGATGTATAGGAATAATTGCCTCACTTACAGCACAAGGATCTTGTATTATCGAGCTTCTTGATGCCAAAACCTGGAGTATTACAAGGACAAAGCACTAAAAGTCCATGGTGAAGGAATTTACTTATAAAGGTTGTACCCTGTTGCACTTCAAGTTGAAGAAATACTATTTACAGTGTGGGGAGGCATGAGGACCTTTTAGCTTAGTTATTACTGGGGCAGCAGTTATAAGATTCCTAGGCATGTTGGTGGTCCATACTTAGGATTAACAGGAAGGTCAATAAGGATAAATCATTATCAGCATTGCTGGGAGAGCCAATCATTGCCATAACTGTGGTGCTGCTAAGTGAGTCAAAGATAATTTGAGGCCCCATCTTTGTTAATATGTTTCAGCCAAATAAAGTGAGTAGACACTCAGGCATCGCTAAGAAGCCACAGATAGAGAAAAAATTATTCATAATTTATTCCAGAGGAGAAATAAATTGTTTGGTCACCAGAGGCCCACTGGTGCCTATGAGACAAAAATCAGAAGCCAGCAGTGTGGAACAGGAGGAAAGAACAAAATGTGAGGACCGTTGAAGACAGTGCTTTTGTCTAACCTGCAACATCCAACGTTACCTGAGACTGCATTCCATTGATGATAATGATTGGGCTGGGGGCTAACTGGAGTCTTTAGTCTCTTTATTCCAGAGACAATAGCTAGGGTTCTGGATCAGGGTCCTTCGATTCTTGGGGCAGCAGGCTCTCTAGTGCCCTGTTTGCCACATTTAGGGCAAGGTGACTTTGGAAGATGTACAGCATTAGGGCAGTTTCTCTCTCAGTGGTTCATCTATCAGCGGTATGACACTTATGAGTTATTTTGATTTCTTCAGGGAAGAAACCAGCAGGTAGCATTTGGTTGCCCTGTGATGAGGTGAGAAGCCCTGCATCTTTTTCTCCTATTGGTCTTGTTAAGTCCTAACTCCCCTGTTCCTTTGTTTCTCCTCTATATCATGAATATAAAAATCAGAGTGAGCAGCATTTAGTAGGTCATCAGTGGAAATTTCAGTTCCCAGTTCTCCTAATATTTGGAGTTGCTGGGTAAGACATGTGTCTTACAGAGGACTTGGCCATCACAGGAGTGTCACTTATAGTATGCTTTTACATAGCCTTCTTAAATCATTCAAGAAATGTAGCTGGGTTTTCATTTGGGCCAGCTTGGTGATTTACAGGTTTGACTTTATTGGCCTTTAAGATTTCTAGAATGCAATTTACAAAATGTCTGCAGTTCCAAGTCATCAGGGTCATTATAATCCCACTTGGGAAGGTCTACAGGCACTGTTTCAGGTTCTATACAAAATCTATAGCCTAGAGCAATGGTGGTGTATCTATGGCACATGTGTTTTAAGGATAAAAGATGTTAATATATTTTTTTTCCCTAAACTAAAACTTCAGGTTTAATTGCAGTGTTGGCACTTTGTAACAACTGAGTTTTGGGTTGCAGACTGCGCACTTTTGTCTATAAAAGGTTTGCTGTCATTGATCTTGAATATGTACATCTTCAGCATAACATCTTGAAGTTACTCCAGGCTTTTAATTTGTAAGAGGCTGTCCCAAAATAACACTGACATCCTTCTAAGACTATGTAGATGTCATAAGGCTTATATATATATATTTCTCAGGATCATCTGAAAAACTACCTAAGTCCGTTTTGATTTGTTTTTAGGTCCTTAAAAGAGAAAGGCTGGGAGCTCTAAAATTCACCCAATAGCTCCTGAAACGACAAACACGTGCCAGTGAGGCAGTTAACATCTGCTGAGAACCTTGAGTAAGAAGGAGTAGAGATGCCTTTTTGCCTGAATTCTGAACATTTGGGTTATTTGATTATCTGCCCAGTCAGCAGGTAGCTCAAGAGACACAAAGTCACCCAAATGAGGAGGTTCCATTTTATTCATGAATGCCATTACATCTGAATCTAACTTGCACTGGCAATATAAACCAAAGAAAGCCTGCAGAGAAAATATCTTCAAACACTTTCCTGTCTTTTTACAAAAGAGGTCTAATGAGTAGTCATGGAGTATAAAAACATGGCCCTCCATGTTTTTATAACTAATGGCTGACATAGAATACCTCTCATTAGATGACATTTTAGTTTGTATTCTGCCAATATCTGTATGGAAGGTGGCCCAACACTCATTTTCCAAAGTATATACACTGAAATATACCACCTAACACATACCAAAATATTATAGCTGTCTTAGAATCCATTAGCATATTAACCAGACTTAACTGATATTCTATACAGAAAACAACTCTCAAAACAGGATTGCATATTCAGTAAAGTAAGCAGAGCTATTAACAGTATGGGATCTTCTGACTAAAAGCGGTGTTACTCCTGAAGTGGAGGAAGAGACAACAGAGACTCTAAACAGAATGCCAAAACCTAGGGGAAAACACGCTTCACAAACATACAGGCATGAAATACTCATTACATTGCAAATAAGGATACTTTATCTGAAGCAAAAAGTCTCAAATATTTTGGAACAATTCCAAGTCTGTGAACACTGCAGCATAGCATAAACACAAGACAAAGAAAAGCTCATGATCTTAATCCAAAAATAGAGGCAATGGGAGATGTCATTTAGCACTTGATGAAATCAGCAAACAAAGATGAAGCATCAGAGATGTTACTGGGAAGCTGGGTCCGAACAGGGCAAGGTCCTAACACTGCAAGAACCTAGTAACAGCTTAATTGTTGTGCGTTTGACAAAAGGTTTCAGACAAAAGACATGCAGGCTGTCATACAGAGTATAGACAGGTTACTGCAAAATGGTAGATTTCCACAAAGTGAAAGAATGAAGACATCTTCAAGGATTAAGATGGGCAAACACCAAAAATACAATTGCAGTTACATTTATATGATTTACTGGGGTCTTTAAAACATTCTTTCTTTCCCGAGGTCACTGGTCTTTTACAAATAAAACAGGCTGTGTTTACTCACTTGAGAAAAGAGTAGGTCCCTGATTAGTTTTAAGTGGATGTCTGTATTTGGTTTGAGACTGAGGTTTTTCCAACTCCTCACACTCCTCACACCAAACACTTTTATGGAAACTGCACCTTATCAACATCCTCAGAGGATGTTACATTCCCTTGAGCCAAAGGTTGAAATTACAAGCTTGTGTGGATTTTATCTACAGCTAATGATGATGAAAGTGAAGCAAAAAGGAAAATCAGGTCTTGTTTCTCAAGTAGCCCGCAGGCACTTGTCTTGAGTGGTAATCACTAACGTTCTGCCTAACAATATGGCTTCATAGCTTTCACCAGATTTTCAAAGAATTTTGCAATTTCTCCAAAACGAAGAGTACGACTCTGACCCAAGTGGCTTGTCTCACCACAAATCATCATCATCATCATCATCATCATCTCTTAAAATCTGATTCACAACGGTAAATAAAAAGCAAAACAAAACAAAAAAAAAAGTAAGTGCACAGAAAGGTGGAAAATCAAGTTCTCTCGGTCGCCCCACAGAATTCTTGCAAGCACTGCTACTCATTAATAAGGAAGTTCATATATATATATATATATATATATATATATATTTTTTTTTTTCCTTCTGACTTACAGTTTGGCACTAGCACCTAGGACAAAATCCCAGTCCTCATCTGCTCAACAGACCCCAACCTGCCCAATTCTCGGGTGAAAAGTTCCGACAAGAGCAAGTAGTGGGTGAAGCGGGGACCCACTCGCCCTGCATGAGCTCGGCTTCAAGACCCATGCCGGACGCCTGGTCCCTGTTGGTCAAGTCCCCAAGCCAAGCCTTTCCCAGCGATGGCGGAGGACCGGGATGGCGCGTCACCTGAGGACTGTTGCTGTCGTCCCCCGCCAGTACCCCTAGCACCTGGATGTTCATTCCAGCAGCGGTCTCCAAAGCGGCAACGACCTTGAAGGAAGAACTGACAAATAGCCATTGCGATGGCTCGACCACTTTGTGGCCGACGGAGGAGTCTTCAGGCCAGATAGTGAGGAGCCCCAGCTAGGAGCGAAGCCCCAAGCAACGGAAGGTACCCGCCGGCTCTGGTGACGCTATCATCGTGCGCCGGAAAACTTTCCCTCTTTGTCCCGCCCTTTGGGTGGATTTTACCCAATAGTATTGAAGAAGAGAAAGTCTCTCGACGCGAGGGTGTGGCCTGTGAAAGCGGTATGCTTGAAAGAGTACCTGAAAAAAGGGAGGCGCGTTCGACCTGGGTCCAAGGCCTTGCATTTCAGAAACGCTTGCGGTCCTGAGAGGAAACAAATGTAGAACTTAAGCAAGGCCCTGGAGGGAGGATTGGCTATGATTTGAAAGACTGCTTCATTTTTTTCAGAGAAAGAAAAACGCTTGCTAATCGGGTGAAACTGATCAGCCATTCATCAGCATAAAATGAGTTGGAGAAAGCCAGTTGTGACATGAATTGAAAACGTTTCCATTCAGGACATGTGACTAAGAAAGATCATCATAACTCCTGAGTGGGTACTGCCTTGCTAGCTGCTGGGAAATTTATCTTTTAAAGTCCACATAAATGGTACTATTAGAAATTGAATCAGAATAACGCATCTCATTTTTGCCTTGAGCTGACAACACAGAAAAGCAGCCTCAATGTTTACCCTGGTGCCCAGCTTCAGGTCAAGTGTTTCTAAAACAACATTCCAGATATTCTTAACTTTGCCGTTTCCAGGGAACAAGACCATGTGTCTTTCAGTCTAGATCTGATGTCGATGCCTTTATACACATTTGCTTTGCTTTAAGCCTATCAAAGTTTCATCTGATCTCCACTTTGTCCCCAAATCCTACAACTGCCTTTTATTTTGTACAGTACAGCACCACATGTTTCTGATGTACTGTTTCCTTGGTTGTAATGAATAAATCTGACTGCTGAATCACATGTTTGTTTCTGGTGGTTTTAGGATGATTGGACTAGAGCTGAGCCATCACTGAAGTAATTTAGATTTTGAAGACAGTGGGTTCTATAGAAGCAATAAACCCAATTATGAAGACTTTTAAAAGTACTTTAAAAAAATCAGTGGAATTAATTTTGTCACAACTTTCCCCCTCACCTGGCAACCCTTTGAGACTGTGTTACAGAATTAATGCATTACCTAGATACTGCTTTCAGAAAGTGGCAAGAATGATGGGATATGTGTGTTTAAAGTAGGGGAGTATTTTGAGGGGGCTTAATGGCAATGTATCTTTTACTGTAATAATTTTTAAAAAATTATACATTCACAGTATTAGTCATATCTTTATTTATTTTGGTCTTTTTGAGTCAGAGTCTGACTAGCAGTTCAGGCTGGACTTGAGCTCACTTTGTAGCCCAGGCTGGCCTCAAACTCATGGCAATCCCCCTGCCTCAGCCTCCTAACTTCTGGGATTATAGTTGTGTGCCACCATGCCTGGTTTTGTCAGGCCTCTTGTATTGTACATTTGTACACCTCTTGTATTGTACATTTGATATAAACAAGATATATTCTCCTACTTAACCATGACAAAATCAAATTTAGGACATTGATATTAATCTATTACTATTATCTAATCCTTAAACTTCATATATACCAATATTGTCCTTTTACATAAAAGGATGCAGTTCAGAATCATTGTTTAAACTTTTTTTTTAGTCTCTTTCACTCTGGAACACTTCATTCTCTCTTGATTTTCATGACCTTAACACTATTAAAGATTAGAGAACAGTTGTAGAAGTTTCTCAGTGAAGCTGTTTCATGTTCTCTTATGCTTTGACTTATTCCTATGGAACAATCATCACAAAAATGATGCTGTGTCTTCACAATGGATCTATCAGGTTATGCACAATTTAAATTTGTTCAATTTCCTCTGATGTTCACTTTGATCACTCAATTGGTGTTTGAAAAAAGCCCAACATAAAATTATTTTCTTGTGTTATGATTTGTGTCTAGATGTCCCCCCCAAAGCCTCATGTGTTACAAAGACAGGCTTCTAGAGTTTGTGATTGATTCATATCCAATGCTGGGATTAAGGATGTGAATGCTACATCTGCTCTAGGGTGGGTAGCCTGCATACAGTATATAAGACTATAGGGGACAGAAAGACCTCTTTTTCCTCTCTCTCTCTCTCTCCTCTCTCTCTCTCTCTCTTGTTGCTTTTGCTGTTCCTCTGTACCATGTGCCACTCTGCCTTAAAGCCAGCTGATTATGGACTGCAGCTTCTACAAACCGAACTAAATAAACCTTTCCTCTCTTAACTTTTGGTGTTGGATGTTTTGTCTTAGCAATGAAAGAAAAGTAAGACATCCTCTTTGTATGTCTTATTACAAATTTTGTGGGGAGGTACTGTCAGTGTATATAAAAATCTGATTCATCATACTTTTAGTTCATTCACTTGTATATATCCCTATTGATATGGACTCATGATCCCCAATTGGGTTATAATCCAATGCTATTATTTATTTCGATGCTTACTTCCTTCATTTGGCCTCTTGGAGCCCTGCTCTTTTTAAAAAAGACAAAATGCTGTTAAAATATTATTAGTCTTCATTTCTTTACTTTCTGACCAAAACCATTCCTAGTCTCATTTTACCCTTTCCTAGCTTTAGTCATGGATTCAGCCATTTCATTAAGAAGCTGGTTCCTTTTGGTGATAAGGTAATAAGATCTGAGTCTCACGTGTTTCTTGTTATTGTGTCTTTACTCCCAGGCCCTTTCATGGACATTGCTAGGAAATATATACTAATTTTGATCCAACACAATGGGATTTATCTTTCTCCTATATTTGTAACTCCCTTGATAGTGTGGAATTCGGTTCCTATTATCTTTAATATGTTTATTATCTCATTGTATTAGCCAATTTTTCTGTAGCCACGAATTTCTTATCTCATTTACAAATGCCATTATGTGTAAGGACTTTGTTGGGATTAAAAACCTCAAATAATCTCAGTGGTGACTGAAGTTTATGTGAGGGCTAGTATGGAGCTTGGTGACTGAGGAGGTAGACAAAGCCAGCATTGGGATTTTCTAGGTAGGGCACTGTGTGAGATAACACATGCTTAAGACTGTGGCTTGCAGAATTTGGAAATGATCAGTTTGGTGAGTGTCATATGTGGAAATCAGGAGACTGGGATTGTAGAAAGGAAACTTCAAGTTTGAAGATGACAAAGTAAAAAAAATTCTGCCTCATTTTTCTCTTGAAAATCATCTGAAAAGGACAAAACAAAAACACCATTTAAAAATTATACTATGGGGTATCCATAATCTTAACTACAGTTTATGAAGATTGAATGTACATGGAAGATAGTAAATTACTTAGAGGGAAAAGGTCAAATTAAATTTCTGCAAGGTGGACATTGAAGTATCCAGAGAAGGCTGAAATGTCTCAAAACTTAAGATCTACCAGATGTACGAGGTTGGATTGTCTGAATATCTGTATAAGGTATGATTAGAACTTAGCTCAAAAAACATCTATGAAGGTGACCTTCTGTATATATATATATGAATCTCTTATGGATCCTAACAAAAATAGCCATTAATTCATATTATGTTCACTGTCTTAGTAACTTTTCTCATTGTTGAGACAAAATACCCAACACCCAAAATTAAAGATTATTGTAGCTCACAGTTGGTAGAGGTTTCAGTTCATAGTTGCCTGCCTCCAACACAGGGAGGCATGGCAGAGGAGAAATAGTTCATGGCAGAAAGAAGGCAAAAAGCAGCAAGGCAGCAAGCCACAAAGTAGTGAAGCAGGAAGTGACCACTGCAACCCTCCTTCTGTCCTTTATATTCTATCCAGTCTGTAAACCCTAATGGCAGGTGGCACTCATATTCAGGGTGGGCCTTCCCATTATCCACATCCGGAGCTATGCCAAACCAATTAGTGGACAAATTTAGTAATCCCATACCCTTAATCTCATCATCATACACTTAATCACAGCATCACACACTCTAGATTTAGCTACCTTTGAAAAGTCCCATTTATGACTGCATGAGGCTTTGAGGGGATACCTAAATACAAGCCATAACACTGATTTTTTTCGTTTTTGTGCTAGGATCGAATCTGGGGCTTGTGCATGCTTAGTACATACTCATCACTGAGCTACAACTCCAGCCCTACATGTTTACTAATTATTATAAACTCATCCTGTACACAAAATTTATCACATTTTAAACATAAATGCATAGGACAGAACAAGCTCCACTGAATAAGATAAATGAGGACACACCATATATTTTTATTAGACACAAATTGCTGGGAATGTTTTCAATCAAGGACATCAAGACAGCTACAAAAAACATTCATGAAACACATCAAAAAGTGGAAAGAACAATGGAATATGTTCGAGAGAAGCGGGAGGACTTTAGGGGGGATTAATGGCAATGTTTTTACTCTAATAAATCTATAACCTTAACATATTTTCCAAAAGAAAATGTAAATGCAGAGGGAAACGTATTTGAGGACAGATACCAAAATCTAAGTATCTTCTTTACCTTGGTACCTGCAGCAGAGAAAAACAAGTTAGAGGAAACAGACATACCAAGAGTATAAAAATGTTAAAGAAAACAAAATAACCACAGAGTATAATATAAAACACTGTTCTGGTGCTATGTAAAAGAATAAAATAGAAAGTGTTCTTAGAAATTAACCATAGTATGAGTATCTCTTATAACTCTTTAATAAACGATCTTAAATCTCATTTTACATCTTGATTATGAGAGAAGGCATAAAGTTCTAGAAAGCAAATAACTTTCCAGTTGGTAGAGATAACAATTTAGACAATATCCTAGCACATGCTAGTTCTCATTTTGACTTGTCCTGAATCAGTTTGAATTATCTTGAAGAGGAGGAAAATTAGAAAATGGAAGTGAAGTTCTAAAAAATCTTTTGAGGCATCTGTCAAGAGAAAGGAAAGTATTTCAAATAAGCACTTTAATGGGCACTTTATCAAGTGTTGAATGATACAACCTGTAAAATGTTTTTTTATATTACCAACTTACCGAGGTGTGGTAAGAATTAGTTTGGAGATTAGATTTTCTTAAACGTTAGGCATGTGTTAATAGTATCAATCTTAAAAAACAAAATTTCCTACATG